ATTGGTAGGTTTAGGAGTAGGTGTGGGGGAGGGGTTAGGATTAGGGGTGGGGTTAAGATTAGGCAATCAGGTAGCGAATTGAACAAGGGGAGTAATAATTTGGCAGGGGGTAAAAATTGGGCACAACACCTGAAATAACGTATCTATATAGATATTATATACTATAATATATTTTTGTATAAAGTATATTGTATATTATTATGTAAAGTATAATATTATACATATAAATATAATATAATATAATATAATATAATTATAAATGTTATTATATCCGAGTTGTCTGGAACGCAGCATTAGGTTAACATTTCAATAAACAAGCGTGTACTACACAATTACGAGCCATTCTTTAAGGAAACATTTCAGCACTTGACAAACGGATAGCGACTCCTGTCTGAGAGTGCAAGCCTGAGAATGCACGTCTGAGAGTGCAAGCGCCAGCTGCAGCCAGACCCTTTTGGTTACTCTTGCAGTTGTTCTCTCATGCACAGTTTCAACGCTTGAGCAAGTAATTAGTAGAGCTTACAGGTAGGCCTGTCGCATTAATCAATGTATCGACTTATCGCGCAATATATGTACATGACCTCAATAATTTTTGGTGACGCAATATATCGCAATATATATGTCACCGTGTTTTTTTACATTCCTCTTGCACCTGAGCCTTTTGCAGCTTCTCATACTTAATGTGTGTAGTCATGAGGTCCTAGTTCAAATTTAACAAATGCTTCTACAAACATTTCATCTGCAGATATGACCTTGTTTAGGGATCTGTGCCTTTGTGCATACGGACATCTGACTGCTAAGTAGTGATTGTTTTTGTGCACCCTTAATTTACAGAGAAAAGAAGGTCAGGGAAAAATCTGTATGGAAAAATCTCCATAAAAGTTCTTTGTGCATTTTTCTTTTTTTCTACTTATTACTTTGCACTTTTTGTTAGAAATGTTTATTTAATATTTATTCAAGTTTTTTAAGGTATCTAATATTTTGATACTTAAGTTTGTTGTCATTTGGAAGTGTGTAGGCCTTCTTGCATTATTATGCTGTTACATTATGATTATATATTCAGTGGCATAAAATGGTCTTTAAAATGCAATAATAATATCAATAATATTTATACTATAATATCGCTTATCGCAATTATTTCTGGGGCAATATATCGCACAACAAAAAGTAGTTATGTGACAGGCCTACTTACAAAATGATAACACGCTTTGAAGCTCGCGATCAGCGCCCTCTACTGGTCAAAACACAACAAAATACAAGCGCGCTCTCAGTTATATAATTATCTAATGCAATGGAATGCATTCATTTTAATTACGGTCTGTGTGACCAAATACATTTAGGGAGCACTGTTTATAATCGAACCCTAAGCATAAAGACTACATTACCCAAGATGCCATGAGCGCGGCGCTGGATGCGCGCCGACGTCACGCAACAAGCCCCGCCCCCATCCGGGGATATGACACGCTCTCCTTCTGCAGTATGGCGGCTTCAGGTGAGGATTTTATAGATTTGTGCCTGGGCCGGTTGGGACATTTCGGGTGCGGCGTGTCATTTGTGTCGGGGACATTTCTTTCAGCGGCAGATAAAGTGCGTCGTACCCGTGATGGAATCGATTTAGTGGCGAGGGCTGATTGTAAAAGCTTGATCTTGAGTTGTGAAGGGACGCTGCGTAGAAACTGCACCAGCAGCTGTGTTTGTGTGCACGAGAACATACTGATCAGCTTATTTACCTTCTATTCCGACAACACGGAAGCGCTGTTTACATGTCTTAACAGCACATTTGTACTCTGCTCGTTTCTCAGACAGAAAATGAAGCACATGCAGCCAAGCCCGTGTCTGTATGCTTGCTGCTTTGTGTTGTCGTTACATTGTAACTGTTTTGTTTTCCCACATGTAAATGCAACATTGCTTTGCTTTGTTTACAAGACACGACCGAAATAAACAACTGGCTCGAGCGCGTGTACGCGTGAATAGCTGTGTAAGCGCAGAGTTGAGGGAGGGGCTGCTGTAACTTCATTCCCGCGTTTCTTACAAAATACATCGCCTTGTTTGAGCAGAGCATAAATAACTAACAAATTTGGTGCAAAATGCATGCCCCTTGTTTAATGGCAAACTTAATCACAGCAGCTCGATCAGAGATCTCCTGCGCTGTCCCGGGACAAACGCTCAGTGCAGCTCAATTAGAGATCTCCTGCGCTGTCCCGGGACAAGTAGTTGTCTTTGCCATTTTGGGATGAACACTCTGTGTTGATTTATTAGAGGGGTGAATTTACAAAATGTCCCTAATGCGAATTTTAATTTGATCTGTTAACAAAAATATATTACGTTGTTAACTTAATTTTTATGTTATTTATTGTTATTTTTATTTTTACTTTATTGTTATTATTTAATTTTTCATATATTTTTACTTTTTATTATTAGTAGTAGAAGTATTATATAGATTTTTTTCTAATTTTTACTTTATTTTATTTACTTTTTTGCTTTTTATTATTATTATTAGTAGTAGTAGTAGTAGTATATTCTCCTATTTGTTTTTTATTAATTCTTTTTTTTTAAACACTAAATTCTTTTTTAGTGACCGTTACCATGATTTTGTATGGTAATGGTAAACACTTGAGCAGATACTTGTGGAAGTTCTTTTGCATTGTGTAGTTTCATGACCTCAAGCACAAGGCTTGCATTCTCACATGAAACTCTTAACCGTCTGCCATGTTACCGTACTGATGGTACAATGCCATTTACTTTAAGACATTAAGTTTTTCTGATAGTATTTTAAAATCGTACAGAACAAAGAAATCTCATATGCATTTATATGTGAATGCAGCGATCCTAGGAGAAAATGGAACAAAACCACATTTATACACATCTTGTCAAGCCTTAAACCTCTTTTAGGATTCAATTTTGATTCACTTTTGAAATGTTAGTGTGTTTTGATTATGTGTAGATATAGGGGGTAGTAAAATCATCATTCAGGAGGAAGGTTGATTCTTCCTTCTATTTTCTCTAAAGCCAGTGTGCCTGAGTCATTGCACATGCATTGAGCTTAAGGATAATGTTGTCAGAACTTGGGGGCTATGTTTTGGTTTTGCAGCGGGGTGTCGTAGCCCTACAGTAAACACTGATTCAGTTGCACAGAGCTGGAATGTCCTGACAGTGCAGTTTGTCACAAAGAGCTCAGAAGTGTGTTGTAGCTCACTACAATGCTTCTCTCCACATGTTAACCGCAGCAGTCTGCAACAGATGAGAGTCAATCTGGCCTGGAGATAGATGTTCTTGTTTTCTAAATGCAGCAGTTTGTCTATGCAAATTATGTAGGGCCAGTTAGTCTACATTTACTGAATTACATTAAATGCTAATTAAATATGCCAACTTGGATAACTGTTGATCTTCTGCTTTGTCATCCAATTGCAGTTGTAATTGCATATGTAAGCCACAACAGACTTTTATATTCACAATCCATTTGTTCTCATCGGTGATGCTAAGTCATGGTGTTTGAGCATAATGGTGAAGCACTGGAGACCTTATTATGCTGTTTTCAATGTGTACTTATTGTTTATTTATTTTTTGACAGCTAAAAAGAATAAGAAAAAGGGTAAGACCCTTACCCTGACTGACTTCTTAGCGGAGGACAGCGGGGGAAATGCTCCGCCGAGTTATGCACCCACAAAGCCCACAAGCTGGGCCGACGAGACCGATGACCTGGAGGGAGATGGTGAGATTCAGATATGGGATTAAACATCTACCACATTTACATTTTTGATGCTTGGCTTTCAAAATATGCTTTTACAATGTTGTTCATATTTCGATGACTTTTTTGTTGATTTAAAGGGGTCATATTTCACGCAAAGAAAGAAGGCGTAACTTTTATTCTAGCTGTTGTATTGTTGCCGCCGCCACCATGTCGTGAAGGCGCTGTGCTAGCCCGCCGTGTGAAACTACTTTGTTTGGCCTTCCAAAAGAGGACACGACTAGAAATCAGTGGTTAAGTTGTTTTTAATTTCATTTAATTAATTTATGCATTTAGCAGACGCTTTTATCCAAAGCGACTTACAGTGCATTCAGGCTATACATTTTTTACCAGTATGTGTGTTCCCTGGGAATCGAACCCACGACCTTTTGCGATTTTAAAACAATGTTCCAGAACAGTTCAACCCAAATATTCCGATGTGTGCAGCGCATTTTATGGAGGACCGTTTCCTGATCCTGGAAGAGTAGACTACAATGCCGGCTGTTCTGACTCACAGACTGTAAGTACGTTTTCATTTTAAGGATTTGCCACTGATGATTCAAACGCGAGTTTTGAGCAGTGCAGAGTAGCGCTTGTTGTTTGTCATTTCTCAGATCACAAATGCAGACATGGTTTTATGTTTAAGCGGCATGATGCAACGCAATGCGAAAAAAAACCGCATAAACAGATTTCATTACACCAAATACACAAAATAATGTTCTTTTTAGCAACATCATATGACCCCTTTAAAAATTGCACAGATAATGTGTATAAAGCACATAACAATTTACTTCCCAAATGTATACAGAGGCTGTTTAAAATGAGAGATCACACGAGTAATGATCAATATCACACTTGTAGCCGTGTGATATGGCTGTATATCAGCATGGCTGTGATTCGACAGCAGGTAATCACAGCATGCTGATCTACAGCCATATGACACGGCTACAAGTGTGATATTGTTTATGCAACAGTTTATAAATAAAAAAGAGACAACAACAGTGTGTCTTTAAAAACCCTGTTTTGTGTGGAACTACTTCTAATCTTGAACTACTTCTAATGCGGAACTAAACTAATTAAAATCTCAGTTTGACATCTGAACCCAAGCCTCCGTTACTAATTCAAAAACGTCACTTTAGAACTAGTAACGAAGGAACGTTGAGTTGCTTAATTACTGTATCACTGTATTAAAAGCTCACTGTATTATGTAGAGTATTATGAGAGAAAGATGGACTGAGTGAGTGTGATTACTTGCTTTTGATACAACATTCATTCTTCAGCTCAATCTCATATATAAAACATTAGTTTGAATGTCCGCTGAGGAAAGTGATATTTTTGTTGTACTGTCCTTTTATCTGTTAAGGGTGATTTCTAGGGCTGGGTAAAAAATATCGATATCTCGATATTAATCGATTCTCATTTTTACGGAACGATATCGATTCTTAAATCCCAAGAATCGATTAGTCTAGCC